TCTAGAGTATCAGTCTTATTCAGCTCAGATGGTGGATTTCAAATTTAATATTTAACAATGACAGCAGTTGAAGAATTGATACAGAGCTTACCCATAACAAAGCAGACAGGACAGAGTACCCGAGTAGTGGTAAGGGGTGGTGGTGGTGGAAGTTATCTGCCTTAAAAGGAAAGAAGCTCTACAGATTCAACCCAAATATTAACCTTCAGACCCCAAATTGGGGTTATCAGAAAGATGAAGTGAAGCTAAAGCCAAAAAAAGGAATTTAGATTACCCTTCTTGTTCTTTTCAGAGACAGAGTACACAATGATTAATCATAAGTTTTATGTGGAATTGATTTATGTATCTCAGAATTATCTCCCTTTTCCAACATCTAAACCACGGGTTAACTTTTATTTGTCCATGTTCAAACAAATGTTCCTACTAAAAACTATCAAAATATGCAGACAAATAACATATAATAAGATTAACAAAAACTCGTATTTAGATATTTTAAAGAATATATTTAAAAAATAATAATAATGAATAAAAATAAATTAAATTAAAATAATTTAACGATAAATATATTAATTATTTAAAATTTTAAATACAAGTTAAATTATTAAAAATACAAACCCTACCCAGTAATCTTAAAAAAAGTCTTTTAAAAAATAAAAGGATAAAGGATTAAGTATTAAAAGAAAAGTGAGTTTATAAATAGTGGACGGTTATAAGATAAGATTGATATGGAGAAGGCAAAATATAGAAGTAGCTATAATAATATGTTTAACATTAGAAGGGTTAGATAATTAAAAAAATAAAGTAAGATCAAAAATATTATAGAAGTTTAAACCTACTTCTATGACGACGTTTTGAAACTAATTCATTCCTTTGATTTAATAATTTGCTTTAATCATTGAATTTTATTATTCTAATTTTCTCTCCTAAACATAGGTCACACCACTTCGTGAGACTATTAGGAGTATGAGCGAAACTTATCATTTTTCAGGCAATCTGAGGGTTCAGACCTTTCTCCTTTCAATTCCAAACATTTTTGGAAAGAGCCTTCTGGTATTTTAATTGTGGGTTCGTAAAAGTGTACCTCTGGGTATAAAGTCTTTGTTTCCATTCCCCGCGGAAATTCCAATGTAAACGTTGTGATTTAACCTATTGGGGTAAATGGTTGCTTGGTATATCACTATAATATATCTGCATTTTCCCTCAACTGGACAATTTTCACAATTTCTACAATTACAGTGGGGGGGTTCATACCAGGTTTATTGTTAATTGTTATTTCCGTGAAATTTACTTAAAATATCGTTATTATGAGAGTTGACAATTTTTTACATGTTGTTGGTGCAGGAATAGCTTATTCTGGTCGTTTTCCTATTGAAGATCATACTTAGAGGGTTGTTTTTGTGAAATTTTTTTTAGACGAAAGTTTACTTCTAGGTTCAGTATGTCCCTCTGATTAATTGTGTGGCTAATACCACAAGCATGTATGACTTGAGAATGAAAGTAAAAACGACTCAGTTACTGCACAAAGTGCGTGTTATTTACTAATAGTATTTACCTTACTGTAACAGTCAGTGAGGCTTTTACTATTTTACAATGATTTAGCATTGAGATCCCCACAAATATCAATCAGTTCATCTTAGATTATCTGCATTTTTAATTTCCAGATCAAACGGTGTAACAATCTAATCAGTTGCGAGTATTTTATAAAGGTCCTCAGAATGTACTCTATATTTCATTTTATAAAGGTCTTCAGAACGTACTCTATATTTCATTTTATAAAGGTCTTCAGAACGTACTCTATATTTCATTTTATAAAGGTCTTTAGAACGTACTCTATATTTCATTTTATAAAGGTCTTCAGAACGTACTCTATATTTCATTTTATAAAGCTATTTAGAACGTACTCTAACGACTTAATTGTTTCCTTCATACATGTCTTCAGGTCAAAATCTGAAAATTTTATTTCTCAACTTATAAAATACCAGTTTTCGGACCCATAGGTTAATTTATTCCCTGGCGTTTGCAACCTCTTTTAACTCCCACTTATTTATCAACCCCTTTTGAACACCAAACATTAATCAACCAAACGCTCTGGATAATACCATTGACTGCTTGGAATTGATATCAACCACTTTGGAGTCTCCTGGGTTAAGTGTGTGTATTATGTTTCCGTAAACGGAGATGGTCTGTTGTATCAGGCTATTATAGAAAGTAAATAATGTCTATGAATATTGAATAAGGTTATGTTACCATAAGCAGTGGCCAACTGGATCTAAAATATTGGTTGCCGGGAGACAAAGGGAGCTCACTCATAACTACAATCATTTACTTTTCATAAAGAATAAATGAATGTTTGATGGATGTCAGTTATCAGTTATCTCCTGTTAATTTCCCTCTGAAAGTTCTCCACTGCCATAACTGGGTATTGAACTCACACTCTTTGGGTCCTGTCACTGGATCTAACCAACGCCTTTATCCACTGTGCCATGTGTCCTTGAATAAATTTCTGGGTATTATAAACCTAATGTCTTCAGCAAACATTTTTTACCAGTGCTCATATTGCAATTTTGCTGTTATCATTGCATGTTTTTTACCAGTGCTCATATTCCAACTATGTTGTTATCATTGCTTTTCTCTGGCACTCCTTATTACTGGTTCCCTTATTGTATTTATTTCTATGTTTGGTCGGCTCCGGAGATTTTTGTGGCCTAGCATATGTGGAACTAGAAGAGTCTACCCCGGTGAGCGAAATAAAGGGTTCAGTTCGATATTCCAACCACCTGAAGAAGGCCGGAGCATACAACGGCCGAAACGTTGTAATAAATATGGCGACAAAGATGTGGACAATAGTCCGAATAATGTAAATAATGTACATAATACCTCATCTCAGAAATATAGACAGCAACATGTATCGTTAGAAATACTCCACATAAAACGAATTTAACTTTATTTTTATGATGTTTAGCTTTGATAATGCCCTCTCAGGACACAGAAAAAATCTGTCTCGTCAGTCATGTATTGAAAGACACATGATCGCCTAAGCGAGTATCACGTATGGCACATAACTGACTGACTGAATGCCCTCTCACATTGGACATGAATAACTGATAGTATGACTTATTCTTTTTTGTTACTAAAACAGTTGGCTGTGTTTGTTTCTTGGATTTTTATTTGATATAGGGAACCCATTCTATCATGATTCCACTTACCAATGACACTTACACGTACAGTTTGCCACAGACCATACACTTCAAATCGTATGGTTCTATGATGAAGGTGCTGCTGTGGCCGCTACATTCGTCAGTCTTCAACTCTGTCAAAAAGAAATCTAGCAAGCATTCGAAATTAACACCTGACACAATATCACCACGAATGTGAATGATTTGTAGAATATGGTAAAATGTCGGGGAAAATCCAACTGAAAACAGTGTGAAATTGATGTGATATTGTATTTTGAAAAATCAGTCGCGTTACTACGTATTGTTGCGTTTTGTAATATTCGTGTGTAAGTTTTATTAAATTAAAAGAGCAGATAATCAGAATGTTCCGAAATTATTAGGTTTTGATCATTTTTACATGTTGCCACCCAACATCACATATTGCTATGAAACCGAAACACCAACCCGAAAATTCGATTCATGATTTTAAATAACTTCATCTGATCAAGACTTTCATATTAATGCCATGTTTGGCGCCAAAGCCGTTAAGAAATATCTAAATTGTCAGCTGTATACAACTTCCTTCTATGATCAATGGTTAAAAGTGGCTTTGAGCGAGTGAAAGAACATTTTTCCTTGAATATTGTGAACTGGCGCTACATAATCACAAACAAAGAACTATATCAAATAATAGAAACTACATTACTCGGGGATTACCAACAGCGACAACAGCTAACCTGGATATCACATATGACTTTTGTTATGGGTGTACTGGTGGAGTATTTAGGCGAAAAAAGTGTCTCCTGGTATATTAATCACACAACAAAAAATGGCGGACTCGGAATGTGAGTCTGGGCAATAAAAAAATAAAAAATAAACGACAAAATTATATATACAAACAAACGATATGTATATATTAACAAAACAAGGGTATACATAGACAATAGAATATTGTTGCGTGTTACAAAACAATGAATATGAAAGAAAACATTTAAAGACTAAAGAATGTGTTTGTGTGTGTGTCATTTGGTTTTGGAGAGAGTCCTAGAAAAAATGAAGTGAAAGGTGCGTACATGTAGAGAAAGCGTTATTCTCGTTCGAACTATATCTTACATCTGAAATAGGAAAAAAGAGGATGACAGAGAATGTCACTGTCTATTTATAGGCTTAGAGTTCGTCGCCTAGGAACGTTTTTTTTCTTCTTTTTTTTGAAAGTAAGTGGTTAACTCCACACTTTAAAAGAAAATAATGCCATAATCACTATGTTGACATTCCATGGTACTTCAAATCAAAGATTAGAAAAGAAATCTCCATCACTACTGGAAAGAGCGGTAGCAGGTACTGGACATCGAAAGAGCGATAACAGCTACTGGACCTGAGAAAACAATTTTCCTGAAAAAAATTGTTTTAATAGAAATATTTCACCCAACAACAAGTACTAGCTACTTCGTCAATGAGTACCAAATGTTTTTTTTTGTAGGAATATCACTATTAGCAGGAAGAAATCTTTTCAAAATTAGGAGTGCAAATATTTACTTTAACAAAATATGCGATCGCGAACATGGAATTCAAAAACTCTGGTTTCAACTTTTGCACCAAGTATACTCGTGTTTCACACTTAAGTAACGCCAATATATATATATATATATATATATATATATATATATATATATATATATATATATATATATGGCCTTGCTATTAGCATAAGGAAAACGGAGCTAATCGAACAGCCGCCTCCATGTCCAAAGCAGATTCGGAATTAAAAGTTGACTGGAATTGGAACTTCGATCTTCCGACTCCCAATTCCGAGCCGTTATCCATTACACCACCCAAACATCCAAGCTTACAACACCTGGTATTCCCAAGATGTAACCTATCTAAGTACTGGCCAGGTTCCACGTTGCTTAATTTCGATGATCGTACGAGAACCGGTGTTTCAACGTCTTATGGTCCCAAGCCGTATAATCATTTACCCGCTGCAAGATGTGGCACAAGGCCGAGTTTAAAGTGGGGTATCCGAGCCCGTAGGCTCGGGCAAAAATTCCTATAGACCAGATAAAAACGGAGTCAGACGAGACTCCGCCCTCGGCAGAGCTCGTCTGGGGATACCCTCTGACATAAGCCAGGTAAGTATATATATATATATATATATATATATATATATATATATATAATGTTCCTAGTATTTGCATTTGATTTTACAACTTATGCAACATAGTAATTTCGTATTATTGGTAAGGATTTATTGAGTTTCTTGTCTTTTTCTTTATTGTGTTGATTGGTGATATGCGATTTTATTGAACTATTATCAATACATGACATGATTGGAATTTCGAATCGAACCCTTTATTTGGTCCACTGGGGTTGATTGTTCTAGTTCCACGTGTCCTCTTCCGGATATCTCAGTTTCAGTTTGAGTTATTTCCCTTTAACTCAACTCTCCAATTTTTGGTTCATCTCAGCTGTTGTCAGGTATTGAACTCACAACTCTTTGATTACTTTAACCAACGCTTTTATCTAACGGGCCATGTGCCCTTGAGGACAAAAGTTCGAGATTTTAATCACTTGAAGAAAGCCGGAGCGTACAACGATCGAAACGTCGTGATTATAGCAACAAAGATGTGGACAACAGTCCGAACGATGAAAATAGTGTATATAATTACAATACCTCATCACAGAAATATAGACAGATCCTGAAGAAGGCCGGAGCGTACAACGTCCGAAACATTGTGAATATGGCAACAAAGATGAAGACAGCAGTCCGAACAATGAAAGTATTGTAAATAATTACAATATCTAATCTTATAAATACAGATTTATCCTGAAGAAATTCGGAGCGTACAACGGTCGAAACTTAGTGAATATCGTAACAAAGATGAAGACAACAGTCTAAACAATGTAAATAGTGTAAATAATTACAGTACTTCATCCCAGAAATATGGACTTATCCTGAAGAAAGCCGGAACGAACAACGGTCGAAACGTCGTGAATATGGCAATAAAGATGAGGACAACTAAAGTGTGTACATAGAATGTAATTCAAATATGAGATCAAAAGTTGAATATTTTACAGCATCTGAAAATTTAGACATCGGTATCATGAGTGAGTTAATTTTACTATTGCTTTTCGTATTGATAAAAGAGTCATTCAGTCCGGAGAACATTATGATCAATGATGAACAGAGGGTTGCCAGTTTCGGCTACAAAGAACGAGATGGATTTAGATATGAAAACTGAGATCTAACGAATTCTAAGTACGTTCTTCTCATTAGTTGTCCAAATTAGCGTCGCTTATTTTAAAAATCGATCAAAAAGTCGAAAAGTGTGAAATTTAAAATTTATTAGTTCTAGAGTTTCAGACCTCGTTTCATCTGGCTTCTCCGATTTCAAATCCCACATGAAAAATCTCGTTCATTTGGTTGAAATTTAAACCTGCTACAGTCAATCATTAAAAAAAGGGAGCGGTTAGAGAAATCAAATTTCCATCAATGGGAATTAAGTTCCAACCATCCGTGAAAGAAAAAAGTACCCCTACTCTCTCATTCAAGGCAATCGCTGGAAAGACGTGATGAAACTATTGATAGAAAGCTTATGCTTCGTTGATGAATAGAATCGCATTGCCAAAGGTAAATTATAGCGTGTTTATTTTGGCTATTGTAAATATGAGAGATAACATCATTAGAAGCATAAATAATGATGCATTTAATCAGTAAATATCTGAACAAAAGTTGTTAAGATTATATGTCTACAGATCGTCATCGAAGCTTAAATAAATATAAGAAAGCACGACTCTCACTGCGTGACTCATGAAATCCTCTTGCGAAAAACAACATCCAACTGACCATAAAATCAAAACGAAATGGAACGTGAATATATATATATATATATATATATATATATATATATATATATAAAAAAACCTCAAACACTAATATTCCATGGTTATAATTATACATTGAAACGTAATCACGATCCAATTCATCAGACTTTTTAATTTGTAGGTTTGATGAATTGGATCGTGATTACGATTACAATATAATAAATTATAACCATGGAATATCAGTGTTTGAGTCTTTTATATTATATTTCTACTCAGTCCTGGACGTTCTACCTGGATTCTATCCTACTGGAAAATTATATATATATATATATATATATATATATATATATATATATATATATATATATATATATATATATATATATATATATATATATATATATTAAACTTATTTAAACTCGGTGGGTGAAAAAACAGGGCGAAAGAAATCGCCCAGTACATTTGTTATATATATATATAGCGAACTCCCAGAAATTTAATTCATTCCACATGAAGTGGAAATATTATATTTAAACTATTGCTGTGTCAGCTGCTAAGAAACTTCACTGTGTCTTGCGAGATAGTTTTTCTCTCCAGAATCTATCTTAATAATATCTATGAGTCTACCATTCATTTATACTTAGAATATTGCTGCCACATATGGTCCAGTGCCTCTGTTATTTATTGATCTCCTTGATAAGATCCAAAGAATCAGCAATATTATAGGTCCTGATCTGGCGTCTCGGCTTCAGTCGCTTTCCCACCACAATAAGGTTGCTTCTCTCTGCCTTTTCTGTAAATACTTTCATGATTTTTCTCTTCCCGCTCATTATTAATATTTCTGTTCCTAATTCTCCCACACCCAGTAACCCCTTGAGTCTTATATATATATATATATATATATTTTTATTAAAGACATATTTTATGTTTAACGTTGTTATTTTATAGATACAAGTATTTAAGCAAATGCTCTGTTTATGATAAACAGTATTAAATAACATTTACCGGCCTGAATGTCCGAGAAATTTTCATAGAAAATATTCGTTCTTTGACAGGATTCGAACCTGCATCCTATACGGAACCGTCATATACGCTGACGTGCCTTACCGCTTAGGCTACAAAGAAGCGTTCGGTAGACAAGGTCGAATTTACTGCTTATAAACTCCAATTTTCCATGAATCTCGTACATTCATAACTGCTCTGGTGTATCGAATGTAAACAAATATTTTCTATGAAAATTTCTCGGACATTCGGGCCGGTAAATGTTATTTAATACTGTTTATCATAAACAGAGCATTTGCTTAAATACTTGTATCTATAAAATAACAACGTTAAACATAAAATATGTCTTTAATAAATAAATTGTCGGACCTTGTCCATTTCTTAATATATATATATATATATATTGAATGATACAAAGAAAGTCAAACGTATGTATAGAACAACGGAAGGGAAGCTAAACGAGAGACAGAAGATTTGGTTTAAATATTTAACCAGCCTGAACGCGAAGTTTTACTAATGTTGGCTTGCAGACATTAGTGAAAATTAAGAAGTTTGGAAAATGTGTCCCACCGTTGGTTTGGTAGGCCTGTTTCGTTATTTTTTTTTTACGTAACTTTTACAGTGCTAAAGTAACAAGAGATGCTAGAACAACAGTTTCATCCCAAAGCGACGTATACAGATGAAAAGAAATCGTCAGTCTTTTAGTAAGACAATGCCAGTTGCCATTCTGCAAAGACAGCTGTATCGTATCTCAGTGATCGCTTTTCATCTGTAATGAAGTTGCTTGCCTTGTCTCCAAACTTCAATTTCTTAGAAAATGTTTAGAGAATTATAGAAAGAAAGTGATAAGCAAAGAAATAGATAAGAAAGTCGCTGTCATGGATGGATGGATGAAATTCCTGTCGTCTACTTTTTCTAAATTATGAAATACGGTGGCAGATCGTGCCATTCAGTTCTTTTAGTTTCAAAAAGTCACACATTATAAACATTTTGCTAGATTATGTTTTGTTAATAAGAACTATTGTGATATTTATAATTACCGTAAACCATTTTTCTTGTACTTTCGTTTCATCAAATTTAGAATTTCTAAACTTTCAATTCGTTTCATATATATTTTTATGAGCGTTCTTAATTTTAAAAAGTATGTAAAACTAATGCTATTTTTAATTCTGTTTATAAATACTTGAGGCTAAATAAAATCCCAAGGTCTATCAGAGGACGAATAACGTCAGCAAAGAGAGGATTTCCTTTTCTCTTTATTCATAATCTCTCTCTCTCTCGATATATATATATATATATATATATATATATATATATATATATATATATATATATATATATAATAACTTGTATTTAAAAATGAAATAAAAACATGTAAATTTGTAAACCAAATTACTTTTTGACTAGAGATATGACATGATGAACCACGAAAAATATATTTTCTGTGGAAATAAATTATAGTCATAGAACCTTAAGGTGATCTGTTTTTTAATTTAATTAATTAATATTTACTCTGTTCTTACACTGAGCTCTCTGGATTACATCCTCTTTGGAATTATCTATACGGATTACCAAACTTTTCATTACCTTACTATCAGGTCATCCCATAAATTCTGTCCGAATTTTAACTTTTTGTTAAAATGAACGAAATTTAAAGAGTATTTTATAATGTCTAATGGAGCTGAACATTATTTTTATGTTTAGATGCATTTAAACTGATCAAATTTTATTTCAGAGAACAATAAAATTAAATTTTGTTTGATTAAAACCTGCAAACATGGAAGTAGCCAAAAGAATCATTTGAGGCACATAATGATTTATGAGTTCAAGAAAAAAACTCAGCAGCCGAAGCGGCTAAAACATTCACTCAGTTTATGGAGAGGAATGTGTGAATGAAAAAACTTGCAGAAGATGGTTTGCAAAATTCAGACATGGAGATTTCACCCTTGAAGATGAAGATCGAACCGGACGTCCAGTTGAGTTTGATGAAAAGCTTCTTGAAGCAGCCCTTGAAGAAAATCCTGCTTTATCGGTTGAGAAATTGGCAGTGGTTCCCAGTTCAAACCATACAACTGTTCATTGTCATCTTCAACAACTTGGAAAAGTTCCTAAACTTGGAAAATTAATGGGTGCC